GCTAATGGGAGCATATATGCTACAACCTCTGCTTACTTTTGACTAAATGTTTTTTTGTTTTTTTCAGGTGCAGAGCCAGAATTTTTTTCTCGGAAAGCAAAGCCACTGAAACTGCATATATTACAAAAGCATACTATTCGCTGCATGTCTGACAATTGTATAAAGTTTTGCAGGTCGTCTTTTTTTTTTTGAGAAGTGCTGTCAACCAAAGCATAAATATGTGTTTCTCTGTACATAAAAGTTCAATTTCACACGATTTGTTAATGTAATTAATGTATAATAATAAAAACTTGATAATATTTTTCTGGATTCTTGCACATGGGAAGTAAAGTTGTTGACACAGGTACATGTAATGTACACCAAGGATTGTCATTCATGACCTGTTTGATTGGATAAAGTTTTACGACTTGGAGGCCATTTTTTCCCTCAAAAATCTAAAAAAAAACAAGCTTTTTCTAGCTGTTAACAGCTTTTTCTCAGATATGTGTCATACAGTTTTGTTCAAAGTTGGTACAGGGACAGGTAATAATTGTTTACAAGTGCACATTGCATTATATGTTTAACAAGTTATAAATTGTCTCAGAAAAGCCAAATAAATATATTTTTACCCCACCCCCTAAAATTGAATTTTAATACAGCTCATAATGAATTAATTCACTCTGACACAAACTAAGTTCAATATAAGTTTTTAAATTTTTTTCTGAGCAGGGGCTATGACATGACATGACATGTCATGTCTTGTATGTTAAACTAATGACCAAGTTTGATTGGAAATCGGTGCTGCATTTTTCTTCCTGTTTTCCACAATTTTGTTTGCCAACGTTGCAGGCTGTTTATGTCATACTTGGTCAGCAAAGTAACAAATATTTAACCATGTTTTAACAAAGTAATGAAACTGTTAACTCTGAAATAAAGTCTCAGAATCTATACTCGACTGATCATTCAAGAGTTGAACTGTTGCACAATTTTCGTGATTTGCCACTCCCTGTCCTCATTGCAACAAACTAAAATTTTTCAGCTAGTAATGCCTCAATTGCATGGTTTGGGTAATTGGTGAGGCTTTTTAATTCCTGTTCAAACGAAGTTCGAAAACGAGGACCTATAATTCGGACTCTGTCTGTCTGTGTGTGCGTCAAGATTCATATTTCAGAATCCTTTGGACCGATTTTGTTCATTCTTTGTATGTGCTTAGTACTTTATGTGGGAAATATGCACATGCAGTGGTTTAGCGATTCGATTCAAAATGGTCAACTGGCAGCCATCTTGTTTTTTGAAAATGTCTTATTTTGGACATGCTTTGTCTGTTTTCATTCAAATTTGGTACATAGATTATACATGTTATGATACATGTCTATGACAATTCTTTCCGCAATTGGATCAAGGATGGCTAATTGACAGCCATCTGACCTTTTGGCCTTACTACTATGTTTCCAAGATTTATGTACCATTATCATTCGTATTTGACACATATATCATACATCATACATGTCAGTTTGTTGCATAATCAGATCAAAAATTTAACATGTCATAAATGGATACATGTACATGTCAATTAAATTTGCAATTTGATCAAATATGGCGGACTGGCAGCCATCTTGTTTGTTTAAAATGTGATAAGTTGGACATGCTTAGACATTTTTGAATCGGGCCTATGCCTAGCTTACTCTTATTCAACACATTATTTTGAACTGATATTTATTAAAACTGCCAATTTGAAGACACTGCCTTCGGCATATTATTCAACATAAGAGGGTGCTTGACTTGTAGAAAGGGTCTATTGGCCACTTTAATCCAGAACTAACAAATGAATATAATTACGAAGAGTTGCAATTGCTGTATACCCTATCCCAGAATCTCAAATTCGGTCATTACACATATGTTAACATTGTAAGCCTCATGTAAATATTTATTGTAGGACACCATGGCAACAAGCATTCATATTCATGAAATGTATGGTAATGTAATTTTAGTACTTCATTCCCATCCTCAGACTTGCATTTTCTCAAACATACTTTAAACAATTTTAGCAAGTGCAATAACATAGTGCACCTCAATTTGTTTTACTTTTACTTGTGATCTATGTTTTCCTTTGCTTTGTCTTAAACCGGAAGGGTCGTCATGCAATTAACACGTGTTCGAATTTGATGTAAAACTAACAATCTGTTGTACATGCCATTTGGGAATCAAGTTTCAAAGGACACACTCATAACACCCCCCCCCCACCCCCTGTTTTAATATGACAAGTACAAAGAGAACTTTCAAAAATGTAACAAGGACTTTGTCATTTTCAATGACTTGTTATTTGAAAAACTGCGATAGCTGAATGGCTTGGGCGAATATTAAATACACATTGTAGTGGTTCAATCTGCCAAGGGTTAGTTTGGAGGGATGACCCGAAACAAACATTCCTTGGCTGGCGAAGATGAAGAAGGGGCTTTAGTTACCAATGTGTTAAATAGTCATACAGTTGTTAAGTACCCTTAGCTGTGACATATCAATTGTCTGTTCATGTATGTATTATAGTGGAATGATATGTGTAATATTTACATCTCATTCTTTGCATAGATATTAATGTTGGATGAAGCTACAGCAGCTATTGATACGGAAACAGACAGTCTAATACAAAAGACGATACAAGATGCATTCAAGGATTGTACAATATTAACTATAGCTCACAGATTGAATACAGTCTTATCTTCTGATAGAGTAATGGTGATGCAAGATGGCAAGGTAAACTCATTTACAAGCACAGCTGTATATCACTTCATAGTACGATTCATACATAGAATCCATTCAAATATGGCTGACTGGTGCCCATAAGTTTGACCAATTCTTTAAGTCATCCTTCAATAAGTTGGTGTAACTTTATTTTGATAACTTTATATCATAATCTAAAATCATTGACATTCAGGACACATCTGTATAGCTATAGATAATGCTGTGACCGAAGCAGTGAAATTATAAAACTTATTATAATAATGCTGTATGAGCACTAAGCATTTTTTCTTCTGTCTTTCCATCTATAGGTTGTTGAATTTGATAAACCATCAGTGCTGCAAGCAAATACTGAATCTAAATTCAGTGCCATGATAACTGCAGCTAAACAGGTCAACACCAAAGACAATATCGCTGTATTGTAACACCATGATGGATGCAACTGAACTAAATTAATATCACTGTATTGTAACACCATGATGGATGCAACTGAACTAAATTAATATCACTGAATTGTAACACCATGATGGATGCAACTGAACTAAATTAATATCACTGAATTGTAACACCATGATGGATGCAACTGAACTAAATTAATATCGCTGTATTGTAACACCATGATGGATGCAACTGAACTAAATTAATATCACTGTATTGTAGAAAATTGTAGAAAACAGCCATAGATTTTCGGTCCTGCTCAATGCCTGAAATCTGAAATGAAAACCTCCTTTTTACTGTAGATAGCTTAGAAATTTTTGAATCTTTTACATTTTAAACAAGCAAAAATAAATTTAATAGGTGTAATTCTGGTAAATAAGTAACAAAGTTTCATATAGCAACAAGACCATGTTTACTCAGGGATCACAACTTTGAACACTTCTAACAACCTTCACCAGTTGGCCCTTTCCATTCGTCATGTGTTTTAGAAAGATCAATGTTTTTTCGTTTATTGTATAGCTTAAACCTAGTTGTAGTTGGCGGATTCGTTCATTGTGCTTGTTTTATTATATTATATACAGTATACGTATCATATTTAGGCATCACTTTTTCCATTAAATATAAAGATGGCCTCTCGTTGATTCATTGCCATTTGAATTTTCGTGTCATTATTTTTGTTTCCAAGCATATATTTGGAATGTAGTTTACAATGCTGGTGACATCATGTCACTAAGAATAACATCCTGCTGTATCAATTCTTAGCACAGCCAGAAATTTTGTTTTTGATTTACTCAATATGTTGTCTGTGCTAGTATTATACATGTACCCTGTTAATGCAGAGCATGAAATATACGCTTATAGTATGTCCCACATCTGTCTGTTTCTGTGAAACAACTTCTCACAACTAAACAGGCAGACTTCAACCAAATTTTGTATAAAGATAACACTTTCTAATGCATATTGTTATTCAGGATTATATTTAATCTTTTGTTTTTACCTTGTCGGCATAATCATAGAAAAAATGAGGTGAAAATATTTGTTTTCGTAAAACTTTTTCTTGTGGTTACAATAACTCAAGCAGTTTTTATCTTTCAAACTAGGATATTACTCAGTTTGGGATCTCAGTCGAGTTTGATTATGGTACAAGTTTTATGTATATTTTTCAAGATATTCAATAAATTTTATTTAAAATTGTCTTCTTCTTGTGGTTAAAGTAATCCAAACTATTTTTATCTGATCATCTTCAAATTTGGATAATTTATCAATCGCTATGAAATGTCAACAAAGATAATTTAATGGGGTAAAATTTGAAATTTTTAGACTTAGAAATAAGTGTACAGAATGAGGACATTTATACTGCTGATAATGAGTTTCAGGTGTTAGCAAGACCTGTTAATTAGATAAATATTGTTATGAATAAAACAAGCAGACTCTCGGCTGAGATAGTTCCACTGTTAGCAATGCATATTTCATTTAGTCGAAAAATATCACTTTTCACCAAAAATATTCATCAAAATTAGAGATATCACAAATCAATAGAAGATCCATCCAAGGTACCTGTATGTTTAATATCGAAGCAATCTTGACTATATTTATCTAAATTAGAGACTTGAAGATATCATTATGAAATGAACAATCTAAGTGAGGTCTACGCAAGGTACATATACACCAAAGTTGACGCAGTCATCGACAACATGCAATATGACAAGTGCAGTGTTTCCTGCCTTTTTCAAATCCGGCTAGTATTTTGCTTAAATATTTTACTGCAATATTTGGGAACCTTTTTCATACATGATTATTTTATAATATACATTGAGATTAATACAGTATATGTAATTGAGGAATACATTAACTAGTATTTTGCTTAGATATGTTATTGTACTGTTATATTTTTAGAAACTTCTATTCTATGAGGAACGGTAAGATTAATACAGTACATGTAGTATTATTTGAGTAACAATTTTTTTTATGTAATTATGACATTTTTAGCCTGTATTTTTCATGCAAAATGCTTAATGTATTATTGCATAGTTTCGGGATTTTCTACTCACTTTTGCCATACAAAGAAAAGAAAAGATATTGCAGCGTTTATTTGTTATGTAATCCAGGTTCTCAATGGACAAGATTGTAATAGTTGCACTATGTTTTGTAAATATATTTTGTAAAACAAAAAGAAACTGAATATGCTAATTTGTAAATATGTTGATATTGTTTTTTTTTTGGAGTAGCATTCTATTATTTCATATTTATATATATAGTGTTGATAATACTTAAACATTGTACAGATTATATTTGTGAAACTCGTTAGCCACTGCAATGATCATTGACTCTTTTATTGTAATATTGTAGCTTATCTCTTGACAACTGAAATACCAGTGTCTTTATAAATCAATTTATTGTGGTTTATGCTAATTTATTGTTACATATTTATTTAAATTAAATGAATGATGAACCAGAGCCAACATTGTATAAATAAGTGATCATTTATTTTAATGATGAAATGTTGAATATTCATGCATCGACAAAAGCAAAGACGTATGAAATTACATGAATCAGTTTGACTTGTTGAGTGAAAAAAATAAATATGAAATTGATCATTGGCACACAAAACATCTATTTTAACATTCATGATTTGTTTGTATTATTCCATAACATTTTGTTGTTTGATCTGAAAGTTTTGAATTTAGTTTGAAAAGTGTACGAGATATTTACCAAATGTGAGAACAGTGGCAAACTACTTTTCCACATCTCAAATTTAGTATCAAAACTATGCTGAAAGATATCCCATCTTTCCAAACTAGTTTTAAAAACTTTCATGTCAAATTTCTTGTATATCAAAGCAACTAACTATTTTTGGAATTTGCTAACAACTTTTCTACATATCTACCAATATGATTTTTCCAATTTTAAAGACTAATTTTTCCCATCTTCCCCAAAAAACTACCACCTGACTTCCCCCATCTTTCTAAAGACATTTTTCTTACCAGTGAAAGTTACTATAGATAACTTTTCCATTTTGAAAAAAATACTTGTTCAACAATACATATACAGACAATTTTCTCCAATGAAAGCAACTTTGAAGATGAATTTTGTGATCATCTCAAACCGTAAATAAAATATTTATGCTATGAAGACAACTCAACGACATGAAGATGACATCTTCCTTTGATTTTCCAGACAATGTTTTCACCTCCCAAAGCAACTTTTAACAATGGTGTGACCCAATAGACCATTTTCCGTTCACTGCGAGAATCACGCGTTATGCGTGAAATCGAACGTAAAAACAGGACAAACAAAGGTCATAGTGGCGTAGTCGCGTCAAACATCGCGTGGGATTCGACAAACGCGAAAGTATTTCGGAGACATTTCCATGCTTACTAATGTGCTGTCCACATTTGATGATAGGCAATTTCGATTAAGTAAGGGTATTCGGAAGCAATATTCCTCTGTCGAAGATCGGCCGGTTAGTGTAAGCTACGAAATAAAGAAATTCTAGTTCAAAATCAAATCGTTCTTTCATGCATCTCGCAAGATCTCGCAATTGTACGGAAAATCACCTATTAATATCATGTGACATATTCATTACTTGCTGCCATATTGATTTTAATTATTTGGATGAGTGAGTCTGTTATTAGCAAAAACTGATCACAGAACTTCAGTTAGGACAACTATGTCTCTACAAAGACATAGACATAGTTTGATACTAATCCAGTGAAATCTTATATACATTCATACTAAAATACTTCTTGATGAAATTAAAGGTGTCAGACTCGTCCTGATTGCATTTATCAGGCATGTGGTAATCTGGTATGTCTTCTACAGTGAGATGAGGATAAAACTGGGAAATAAGTTGAAAATTGTACATGCCTTTTTTGTGACAAAACAAATGATGTAAACTTGATGGACTCACAACATACACTAATGAATCATCAAGTGGAACAAGCCTGTCTAACTTATTAAATAATAACAAATCTTCACCATGCATTAAATCATGTACTGTTATCTGATTGGTGGAATTTTGAATTTGACTGGCTGATAAAATATGTCTTGGTGGCATGTATGTGTGAAAGAATATATAATGACACATTGTTTGTGATGAATGCTGAATACTGTCAAGGTATATCATACTCGGTAGCAATCCACCTTGATGAACAACACCAAACATAAGAGAACCTAAAAGATTCCAAACAATCCAGGATACTTTGAATCCATGTGACAAACGTGTCTCCATTTTACAGAATAACAAAACAAATGGGCAAAGTAATGGCATTAGAAATCTGGGCTCTTGATGTGGTGCTAAAGATAATATGAAGAGTGGAACCACAATGGATGATATCAAAAATACATTAAAATTGTCTCGGATTTTTTTATATTTTTGGAAAAATAATACTAGAATTGACCATAATAATGGTAGAAATAACAATGGAGTATTGACTAAGATATGAGTGATATACGGATGAAGGGTGTGCTCAGACAGATTTGATACATCTAAATTATATTGTAAAAAGTTCAGTGGTGTTACTGTGAAATGGTTCAGTAACTCAGAAGATGAAAAAAGATGTGTTAAACCTTTCAATGAAAACAAATGTTCAAATGTAATAAAGCCATAATATAAAGAGTCAATGACTGTGCAGAGTAAAGTAACTATTACAATAGTGGGAATAAATGATATCATACATTTCAATACTGTATGGAGACTATAATTCAACTTGATATGATATAACCAGTATAGCACTGGGAAAACAGCAAAACTTAAGAAAGTAACACGAACAAACACACCTATAACAATGATAACTGATAAATGAAATATGCACGAGTAGAAATGGCTTACTGATTTGTGTGTGTGTTGTCGCATTGACAAAGTAGATTTCAGTATTACATACAGAAGTATAAAGAAAAGTATGGATTCCAATGTGTTTGAAAACAGTCTAGTATAAAATACAAGCATTACATAGGAACTAGAAAGTAAATTCAAACTCAACTTTGTATTTATATGCAATAAGTGTGATAGCTTGTACATAATATAGTCAAAAATAAATGAAAATAAGAACATGACTAGTCTTGGCATGACATAGAGAGTATATGATGATATCAATTGTGGGAACACCTTGAGTAGAACAAATGCTGGTCCACTTGTCAAATATGGGAATATACATGTTCTGATTGGCTGCTGACTCTTCCATTCCCATGATCTATATACATTGATATCAAAAAGATCACCTAATGCATAAATAAATGAAATAGAAAAATAAACGAGTCATTGTAAATTTGCTAATTGTGTTCGATACAGACATTAGAGGACATTTTTCAGTACGGCAACTTATTGCTTGACATTCATATGCCTAAAATACACCTGCCTCTGTCTATATAATTAAAATAACCAGAGAAGGGTACATACCATATTTGCTCAATTAAATACACAAACTAGTGCACATAAACCAAAAATTACATTTATCATACATTAAAATACGACTTATTTTGACATTTTTATTTGACATTTCTGTCATTTACCTAAGAGCATGCACTACTAATAGAGATAATATGGTACACATAAAACGACCATGGTCATCTATTAATTACCGGTAGTTGAAAACAATGATCTGAATACAAGTAAAGTTCAAATATGCAGAAATATATAAGTTTATTGGTCAATGAATTTTTTTAGAATTGAATGTACACAAAAATACAAGAAAATCAAATCTGAGACTTATTTATTTGCTGGGTTTTATTTTCACTTATTTAGCCGATTGTTAAATTCACTATATTAAACATTTCAACTATTTTCAGACAGAAAGAAAAAATAAATATTTTGAATACACCAAAAATTAATTCACATGGTGTAAAATTTGTCCTGCGTTTTTCAAATATAGAAGACTCAACTTTATTTAAAGAGTAAAACTTACCGGCAACAATTTCTGAATTTTGGAAGAATTCGTCTGGATGTATATAAGCATTGTGCGGCAATAACACTAGTGTAAGTCGCAAACAAACAAACACCAGCCAAACTTTATTCATCGTTAGTCAAACTGTATAAACAAAACAAACGTGGATATTACATTTTTGTTAACAGGAATCAGAAACTGGACAGGGCATCTCTATAAAATTAGACATATTTTAATATGTTAAAATTTTATGGTAAACCTATGCTTAAATATGATATGTTACAATCAAACCTGCGCTAGTTACCACCTCTATATAAAAACCACCTGACTATGTAGTTACCACTTTTAGGCAGTCTCAAGGCATAACTTAGCAACCTATGTAAAAAGACCACCTGTCTCATGTGGCCACTCGCAATAATTTGGCAGATATGCCTTTTTTTTTCAAAGACCAAAATATAATAATCAGCATTGTGCTATAAAACATTTTTTTTGTCAAATTTATTTGATTTTTATCAACTCAAATACATATGCTTTTGATGCAATGGAACCATCTCATTAATTTCATGTCATGCAAAATTTAAAATGTATCTTAACTGACCATGGCTATTTGCATAGAAATTACATTTTGGAGCTTGGTTGTATAAAATATGAGAAAGTTGAGTTATGAGAAACACAGGATTTATTTGATTTCTCTTAATACACCATCTCATCACATCAAGTCAACATGGTGTACACTACAAACATTGAGTCGGTTTGGAAAATATAACTTGTGTGATTTAAAGCATTTCATTTGTGGTCACCAGAGTGTGAACTTCAAGATTTTACAACTGAATCTCCAATTCTGCTTCTATTGGGCATTAATTCTCAATAAAAGTTGCTAATACTGGGCTAGCAAAAATGCAACATTGGTTCTCAGTGTTAGATAATTCATGCAAATCAGATAAAATTGAACCTAGGTAAGTTAAAAGAAGATCAAATAAATAAAAATACAGCATGGCTATTACATAACATAACCTTGCATTTAAGGTAGAATACAAATATTGTCATTTTATTTATTTTTACATATTTTATATTACATGTTACAAGGATGATTGCTGGGATTTGAGCTAATCTAATCTAATCTAATCTAATCTAATCTAAGAGCCCTATTTTGAAGCATTTCACATTTATCGCCTTTTTCATAACCACACAAACTCCTGAGAAATAATCAAGAATATTATATTTTATGCAAATTATAACTATGTTTTCTTATCAAATTGACAAATTATTTTGCCCATTTTGTTCATCCTGTTTGGTGATAAACAAAACATGCCTCACGATAAAAAACCTGGTGGGGGGGGGGGGGGGTCTGTGACAGATAACTTCTCAAAATAAAACAAAAAAACAAAATAAATCCTACCTACTTACACATTTTTTTCCTTGGCCTGAAGTACTCTTAATAGTTTGTGGTGTGGGTTATTTTTATCATAAGATTTGCACCTTTGCTTGTGTTATAGGTTTACCATTCTGGTATTGTGTTTTTGTACTTGTATTCCAAAGTTAGTTGACAAAAATGTTATGGTTCTTTATACTTTCATTTCAAGATAACAAGAACAGTATTAGCATGCAAATATGTGACTGGTTAATCCTTATCCGCAGCCAATACTACTTTAAAGGGACCCCCCCTGTACCAGTTCAAAAATCAATTGCCCTGCCCTTCAAATAATGACTGGTCCCTTACGTTCTAGTTGTATTGGGAAACTGTTTTGTAGCATAATAAATTCTCATCTTAATAACTATATTGAAGAGAACAAACTAATCTATAATAACCAAGCTGCTTTTAGAAAGAACCATCGTACTATTGATCATATTTTTGTCTTAAAAACTCTAATTTCAAAACAATTATGTAAGAAAAAGAGACTTTTTGTATGTTTTGTTGATTTTGCTAAAGCTTTTGATTCAATTTGGAGAATAGGACTTTTTTACAAACATCTTAAACATAATATCAATGGAAGGGTTTACCGTCTCATTAAAAATATGTACTCTAAAAAGCACATATAAAAATATCAAATTTAATTACCCAGAGTTTTGATGTTACAAAAGGGATGAAACAAGGCTGTGTAATTAGT